AAATTCAAATTGTATATAATCGTTCTATATACTTATAATAATACAATTCGTTTTATATACTTTGTTTTTATACAGTTCTCTGCCCCAGTGTCTTTCTCTTTCTTGTTTTATACACTTCGTTTTATACAATTTGCTTCAACTGTATATGTACAACGAATTATACAGTTTATATGTTTGTTATGGAGCGCAATTATGCAAACTTTGCTATAGAATATAAATATGAATTTTTATTTGCTATATGTGAAAATTGCCCTATTTTTAATTAATTTTTATTGGCCCAGGGGCCGGCCCTACTGATACTTCTTGAGCCCCTCAAATTAGCAGGCTTATTCAGGTCGGGCTAAAAAGCTCTTTTATCAAATGGGCTCCAAATATCATAGCTCAGCCCTATTAAATCCCGGGTTAGGCCAGGTCGGAGCAACAGGTCTAGCCCATATTGACGACTCTAACTTTGAGCTTTATATATCCCTCAAATAATAATGATTGATATGAGTATTTATATATCCCTCAAATAATAATGATTGATATGAGTATTTTATTGTAATATCCATATTAATTGGTGTTTACTATTAGGTGTTGAAAAATGACAATGAAAGTAAGTAACTAATACTAAGAATAAAACATGAATATATATATATATATATATATATATATATATATATATATATAAGTAACCGATAAAAGTTAATTTTTGAATTAACGGATAAGTAAAAGTGATCATAGACAGAATTATACTTTTATATTAAAGAATAATTTGCTTTACAAATTTTGGTTTTAACTTATAATATAATGATTATAATCACACAGAACTACAAATATCTATAACTTGATTTGATATTACAAGTTTAATTTTTATTTTAAATCGTTTTTCTTAAAATTTATGTTTGATCAAACGCAAGGCACCTAAAATAGGAAGACAAAAGTACTCACTACGTTTCTTTATATTTGACTTGTGTATCAAAAATAGATATTTTATTTTACTTATTAATTTTAGCAAATTTAGAAGGGAAAAGGATTAAAAATATCCTCAACGTATTGAAAATAGATCAAAAATGTCCTTAAGGTTATTTTTAAGGTTACAAATGCCCTTCTTTAACCGAATTTTTACATGGCATAAATGAATTTTTAAATTGAACACATGGCATAAAATTATTGGTCCACGTAAATCTTTTATCCAACTCAAAGAATTTAATCGATGACTGCATTGGACTTCCATCTTCCTATTTCTTATTATTGAGGAACAAGTGCTAACTTTCACCAAAAACTTCATTGCATCCCAATGTGCCACCAGTAAACTTCCTCTGCGCATGGTGACAATTCCCGCAGTGAAACCATCGAGGATATTCGTGATCACGGTCCGTCTGATCGTTCTACGAAGGTCTAGTTTTCTTGATCAATCATAGTGAATACCCAACAAGAATTTTATATGATCCAGGATTAAATCCAAACCACAATAATAATGTTCCCAATAGATTTTAGTCTTTGCACTCAAATAAAGCAACTGTAGTGAAATTCGTTTAATAAATTAAGTAGATTCGAAAAACAGAAACAAAAAAATCAGTTGGATTATATTAAAAAGGGTAGGTCAATTCCATTGAGTTGGGTCAAAAATTCATGTGGCTCAATACTTTAACTACACGTGTTTAATTTAAAATTTTATTTATGTCATACTATAATTCTGTTAAAGAAGGGCATTTCTAACCTCAAAATAACTTTAAGGGCATTTTTAATCTAATAGGTGGAAAAAAGACATTTTTAATCTATTTTCGATATATTGAGGACATTTTTAACCTTTTTCTCAATTTAAAATATTTTATTGTACTTAGTATTAAATGACAACATAAGGTAGTAGTAGTCAAATTTTTGCATCCAAAACATCGTCAATAAGATAATTTAGTAAAATACACTTTTCATTTTTATTTTTCTTAAAAAATAAGGAATGTATGAGGACAACGATAAAGTAATATAAAACTGGGGAAGTAGATTGCAATGAGCTCTTATTACTTCCGTCATCTAAAATAATTTATCATGATTTCTAAAAGTAATTATTTTTAATTACTCTCTCTGTCCATTTTCACTAATCTCAAAATAATTGTCCTATTCTATTTTTATTTATTGAGCCAGTTTAAAAAATTAAGAGATAACTGATTATTTGACACCTATTTACCCATATTATTAACTAAAGTTATTTTTTAGTGTATTTTTTAAAATATTAAATTTGTTATATTCAAAGGATGATGTAAAAAAATTAACATTCTATTTATTGCTCCCGAAGGAGTGTACTAAATGGATTCCGGATAAGTCAAAATGGATGAAAAAGTTATCATTTTGGAAATTCAAAATAAAACTGATTATTTGTTTCATATTTCATCTTTAATAGTGTTATACTTTTTCAAAATAAAAAATAAAAGGGATAATGCACAAGTACCTTCTCAATCTGTGCTCGAAATTTCAGAGACACGCTTATACTAATCTAAGGTCTTATTACCTTCCTGGACTTATTTTATTAATAATTTTCTACTCCTTTTCGGCTTACGTGACACTATTTTGTGGGTTCAACGTTGGTTGACTTTTTTTCAAGCTACTACCACGTTGAACGAAAAGGGGTAGAAAATTACTTATAAAACAAGTTAATGGAGGTAATAGGACCTTAGTATAATATAAGTGTGTCTTTGAGATTTCGAGCATAAATTGAGGGGGTACTTGTGCATTTTCCCTTCTTGAAAATTACACACCTATAGAATAAATATTTAATTAAAAAATTATATCTTAAGACATTAATAAGCATAAAATAGTCAAAAAAGAATTTAATTAGTTTTTTATTAAAAAAAACACTTGTAA